TTTTTTTTCAATAAATAAATACAAAAAAACACTAAGAAAGTTAAGAAAAACAATGACTTATATGTATATATATATAATTAAACTAAAAGTAATTTCCAATAACATGTTATTATTTCATGGTTTATTAAAAGCCACATTGTATAAGAAAAACTGGTTACGCTTTTTCTAAACAAAAAAACAAGCTTTAAAGGTTTTTTTTTTTGTCTGCATACCCTCTTAATTCCATCTGTAAAACATAACAAACTTTTTCAAACTTTTAATCAAATAAAATGCATAATTACTCACAGTAGCTAGTTATTATTCCTTGGCTCATTGATAACAAAATTACCATAACGTCCGGCTTACAATTTTATCAATAAAATACATCCTATCGGAGTTTTTATGTCTTTGTTTATCTTATAAGCATAAATAATCCTAAGTTCAACTACAAGACGTAACAAAAAAATAATAATAATAAAATAAAACCGAATTTATTTTTACGTGTGATTTTAAAACCCATTAATCTGCGAAGTTTCCTCCAATTGTTTCACTTTTATATCCTCATTTAAAATACATCGCCAATTCCTTGCCGAGAAAGGAAAACCGAAAAATAAGAATTCTGTGAGTGATGTTGGATTTTTATTCCATTCTCTCTCCACCAGTTTTGAAGCCTGAACCAGTTTTACGGCTTCTCGCCGCTATACCGATTCTTGCAACACTACAATTTCACTCGCCGTAGTCGACTTATGCGATATTTGCTGGTAGCTATTCGAGAAAGGGTGGAATCGCCGAGAACACCTGTTCTTTGCGCGGTAGGATGGCAGTGGCTTCGAAGTAGATCTTCTGGGGCTTAAGAACAGTTCTTTTGGTGTGGAGATTAAACATTATATAGCGATTTCTTTCATGATCAGAACATTTATAATTTGGATGAAGAAAAACTAACGGAACAATGGAAGACTTATATATTGGAATGGTGATTAAGAATTTTATGGATTTATCCTTCCTGATCAAATTCATTTAAATCGAATAACAATTTATAGGAAGAAAATTCTCTAGAGTTTCGAAGCTTTGGAACAACAGAATAGTTCTGCTTACGAATGGTGATTAATATTTGCACCAAGATTTTCGCCGTAATCAAATTAATTTAAATCGAATTAATAATTTATGCACGGAAAACCATCTTGAATTTCAAGTCTTTGAAACATCGGAGCAGTTCTATTTACGAATGGTGATGAAGAGTTATTTATTGTTTTTTCTTAATCAAATTAATTTAAATTAAATTCAAAGAAAACCTTGGATTTAAAGTGATCTTTTTTTCCTGACATCTTTACTAAGAATATTATCCAGTTATGTTCCAATCAAAAATATTTCAACTGTCCAATTAACTGTGATTAATACCTGGCGTGAAGACCTTCCTGGACGCTAGAGCAGCATTTTTTCAGTGCCGTGATTAAGGATAGTTGCGTTTATCATCTACAGTCATAACAGAATTAATCCGATTATTAATTGGTTTCGGATTGTGTTCCAACAGGTTTCTAACTGGAAAAGGTAATCGAAACTGGTTGTTGCGTTATTTTATTTAATTTTTGCAAGCGTGGTAATCACTTCCGTAATATTTATTTTACTTATTTATCTACAGTCACTAGAAGTAGTAAAAAAAGCGTTAGTGAATGCTAAATTTTATACCTGAACTTATGTGTTATGATTTAAACTTAAAATGGCTGATTTTATGTCAGTTCGAAAACTTGGTCCTATTACATTAAAAGAATATTTTTCGCTACTTGAAAAACTGAGAAAACTATCTTCACTTATTTCTTTGATGAACTTAAATTTGCATGCTGTATCGAATTAAATAGTGGTGTTTCAACATGGCGGTGCAAACAAATGTGGATTATTCTTAATTGGAGATCTTAAAATTTACGTGAATGTGTGTTTTAGTAACATTTGGTGGATTTTCCTCAATTGTGGATTAATTATTTAGGATTTATTTGTGAAAGGAGATGGAATAACATAATTTTTATTGGAATCTATTTTTAAGTAAGTACTTTAAATATTTAAATTATAATTTTTAGATTTTTGAATTCTCAGAAATTTTCTTTAACATGATTTTTTTCTCCAGAGAATTATGTGATGTTCCATTTTAGCTCTAATAATATAGACATAAAAACTAGTACAATCGAGGATATAAATAATAAATTTTAGAATAATAATTTTGAAATTTTCAGAAGCATATTTATTTTAAATTAAGTTTATGTAAAGCGATGTCTATTTTATTCTTTTTCGGAAAATTAACGATTCTTCTAATTGAAATATTATTAAAATATAAAAAAAATTTTTTCAATAATCTCTATGACAAAAGATGCAAAAATATTAAAAAAATTTTTCCACTAATTCTGCTTCTTAGGAATTTTAAATATTTAAATTCCAAGTTTAGTGAACAGTATTCGAAAAAAAAATTATCCATGCACCTTTTTCGATATGATTCATGAAGCATTTCAAATAAATACTTATATGTTCCAAATTAGTTAATTCATGTTTAAAATTTTGTATTTAAAATGTATAATAAGAATTTTTCAGTTTAATTTTAAAATAAGGATTTGATTTCTTAGAGATTAGCATAAATCATCATGACATACCACTTTTAATTTTTTGAATTCCTCTCTTAAAGGAAATGAATAAATAAATAAGAAAAAAGTCGAATTAAAGATTTTAATAATGCATTATCACTGACCTGGATTTATAAAAATAGTGGAGGGGCTAAGATAGAAATTTATTTCAAATCAGTAATTTGATTGTTTCTGCATCTGCATTATGAAAAAAAATTATAATTAAAATATAACTTTTTTGTATAAAATTACGTTAACACACTTTTTAAAATACGAGAAACCTTAATAAAGAATATTAATAAATGTTTTAATCCGTTTGAAAACTGGAAGTTAGAATAATTTTTAATGAATATTTAAATCTTATCAAAATTTGGATTACATACTTAACATTCAGAGCTGTAAAAAATTTTTCAATAATGTTTCTGTGCTCATCAAATATTTTTATAGGTAGTTTTTTTTTCTTTTCTGCAATTGAATGATTACTAAATTTAATTTGATTTATATATGAAAATTAAAAGTTTAATTTTATTTCCTTACATACTTAGATACGAGATATTGTTTAAAATAGTTTTTTTTTCATTTATTTTACTTATGAGTAAATGATAAACATATCTTAACTGAGCTGCCAGTTCGAGAAATAATAATGTTTGATTGTATTATCTGGAAAAAAAATAGATTCAATTTTCTTTCTTTTAATTTGGTGCATAGGTATTAAAAATAGGATTTTGAAAATGTAATTGAAGTACAATTCAAAATCAGTTGTTTTTTAAAATTTATTGCTTTTACTCTTTTGAAAAGATTTGTAAAACAGAAATAAGTTATGCAGTTAATGAAATTTGAGTTTATTTAAAAGTTTAATTTTTTTCAATATTTAATTTTAATTTACTATTAGTTAATCTATTAGATTTCGTCACTTGTAATTAAAAAATATTTTGTTATAGAAATTTATTATATGTATTTTAAACTTAACACTATAAATTTCATTACGATCTTAAATCATTAGCATTGTAAGAATAATGAAATAATGAATTAAGTATTTTTTAGAATGGCAAAAATACTGTAAACTTTTCATAGGTTAAGAGTATAGCAAAAGACAGAACTTTCCTTAATTTATTTTTCATAAACATACATTTTACTACAACGCTTAAAAATTTATAGGAATTTATTTATAAAATTTAGAAAAATAACACTTTACTTAATAATAGCTACAAAAAACATAATAATAACAACCATTTTTTAGATAAAATGCAATGANAATAATGAATTAAGTACTTTTTAGAATGACAAAAATACTGTAAACTTTTCATAGGTTAAGGCAGGGGTTGCCAAACTTTTTTGATCATCGACCCCTACATAATTTTTCAAAATCTCCATCGACCCCCATAAAAGTAATTTTTCGTTAATTAAAATAAAACTCTATTAGATACTGTGTTTGTACATTTATTTTATGATTTTGAGCATTTATTAAAGTAATAGTACATACTGTAACAATAGTTTTATGAAAAATATATTAATGTTGAAATATAAATACCTTAATATTTATGAAATAATAAGTAATTATAAGTAAGTAGAAATAATAAGTAAAGTAACTACGGATTTATTGCTTCTTAATCAATGACATGGGTGTGCCTGGTGTTTCTTTTTTGTTGCAAGGTTCGTTATATTGGGTTCAAAATTGGTCTATTTTTATCTTAAATCCCCTCGAAATTCCACATTTAATATTTCTGTTAAGATTGAATTTACGTGACTGAAACTGGCTTCAACCATATAGGAACTTGGAAATGCTATCATAAATGGCTGAGCTATTTCTTAAAGTCTTTTGCATTATATTTATATTTGTCCAAAATTTGCTTATCGTTAAATTTTTAAAAAGCGTCTTTGCTTCAAATCCCCATAATAATTCAGCAAGCTCATCTTGCAGGTTGATGTCCACGTTTTCAATTAGAGCAGAAAATGGCACAATAATCCAATCAGGGATGTCAATGTTTTCCAAATCAACAAAACGCAGTTTAGAATCGTCGCTCAATTTTTGAAGATTACCTGTATATATTTCACCTGTATATAAGTCTTCTTTTATTTCTAATTGTCACATATCTGAAAAATACTGATAATACTTCGATCAATCGATCCTTCCGGTTCGGATCGACCCCCATTCGACCCCCTGGCTCAGATCGACTAAATAGACCCTTGGGGGTCTATATAGACCACTTTGGCGACCTCTGGGTTAAGGGTATAGCAAAAGACAGAACTTTCATTAATTTATTTTTCATAAACATACATTTTACTACAACGCTTAAAAATTTATAGGAATTTATTTATAAAATTTAGAAAAATAACACTTTACTTAATAATAGCTACAAAAAACATAATAATAACCATTTTTTAGATAAAATGCAATGAAATTTCCTTGATATCGTAAGAATGAATAAGCTTTTACTCACTATCATTTTATTTCACTCAAAAGGATTTAATCATTCAGAAATTTAAAAAAAAATAATAATAATAACATCGAATGATGAGTTCTAATAAAGAGTTTTTTATTAAATTTTGAAAAATAAAATTTTGAATAATATTAATTTTTTTTTTATTTTGTGAAAAATAATGTAATTTTTGTTGTATGGAAAAATAAATTAAACTATAACCGTATATTTTTTTTGTATTTAATCTGGGAAGTTTTCGAAACGTCATTATTTGAAAATTTATCAATAATAAGGTTAATATAAAATTTTACTTAAAAATCTAAGTGTTAATATATATAGTTTCGATGCATAAAACCATATAATATATTTTTTTGTTAGTAAAGTTTTCAATACAATAAGAACTTTTTTTTCTTCAGCATTGTGAAGTAATTAGTTTGAATAGACAGTGCTGTGTGAAATAATAAATGAATTCCGATTAATTAAAAAACAATTGAATAATTGCAGACTACTTAAGCATACAAAGAATTCAAATAAACAAACAAGTAGAATTCTCGTCTTTTTCCGAATTAAATAAGCGTGAAACTAAATATTTATTTTGAGTTCAAAATTTTATTTAAAACGTTTCTAAGAATAAAGACATATCATTATTCTTTTGTACGTAAAAGTTCCAGAATCACCGTATCTCTTTGTTTTTGTTTTAAATCATTCGTTTAATTACTCTTTAGCGGCAAAAACCAATTAAATTCCTATAAGGTCAACTACAAATAGTTTTTAATTAAAGATTACCTCAGTACAAACAACGAATTAAAGTAAACAGACAGTTTGCTTATGGTATTGCATAGTACCGCATGATTTGCTATTAAAACAAGTATATAAAAAGCTTTACATTCCAGAAAATCCCTCGCGTAGCATAGACACCAAAAATAGCTTCGATAAAATGAAAAGAAAAAAAAATGGCTTATGTTTATGAAGAGTAAAGTGAATTGATACACTGAGACGAAAAAAAAATGCCTATTATTAAGATAAAAATAACGTCATCAAAGAAAAAGGTAATCTCTTGGAACACTCCATTGTTCTTATTATTCGGACACTCTCTTTTTATCGTCTGCCTCATCTACATAACGGTACATTGTGTAAAAAATAGGTTCGCTAAAGCTTTACACGCGATTTTTTTTTGGATTAAAGGAATATTTCGTCTAACTTTAGATATCTTGATCCTTTCTCCACTTTTCGTCTTTTTAACACCGCGATCACGAATAGTTTTCACCATACTATTGTCTTCTAGTGTTTTTTTTCCCTAGCGTGCACCCAAATCTGAAAAATTCTAAAAGATGTGTTCTTTTTTAGTTTATAATCTTGTGGTAAATCTTTTCACTTTGGTAGATATTCCAGATCACGGAATTCATTAGTTGGAAAATCATTTTAAAAGAGCTGTTCTTGCTACAGGGAAATGAACTGATAGTTATTTTTTGAGTTCATGTTGCTGATTCGATATCGATTTAATAAGTAGTTAAATTTATATTGATTTTTCTCATAAATCAGTTACTGGTTTTAACAACCTATATCATGTAATAAGACAAAAAATAAACAAATACAAGTTTTTTAATTCTTGGTCACGGAGTTCATTGGCAGAAAATCGTTTTAAATCGTTCTTGCTACTGAGAATATTTTTGAATTGTTCGTGCTACTGATTTGATATCGATTTGAACTTGTTGTTTAATTTATATTAATTATTTAAATAAGTTACTGGTTTAACAGTATATAATTTTTAATGGGGTAAAGAATAAAATAATATAAAGTTCTTTTTTTTTAATCTCTGAGTTCATTGACAGAAAATCGCTTTAAAATAGCTGTTCTTGTTATAGAGAATATTTTTGAATTGTTCGTGTTACTAATTTGATATTGATTTAAACTTGTTGTTTAATTTATATGGATTATTCTCAAAAGTTAGTTACTGGTTTTATCTTCATGTAATTTTGAATGGGATAAAAAATAAACCGATACAAAATTA